GACAAAGAGTTTAGACACCTACGATGGTTTCGTCGGTAACTTCAAGATCATGCAACAACAACCTTGTCGGTAAATTGCAAAGATCTTGGAAATATCTACTTAGGCAGCTTTTTAGGTGAGTGAGCAAAAAATCCTATGGCCTGCAGTCACTCTGCGGAAGGTGGTGCAGAGCAACAATAAGTGTAATTTGTTTAATATTATTATTTTTTTATATGTTTTTATATTAAATTTAATTATTTTATGTATATATTACTTTTTTTAGAATTTAAACTATAAAATATTATGATTTATTCATTTGATATTAACATTATCAAATTTATTGTTTTAGATAAATTATATATATAGATGTTTGTTAATAATTTTTTAGTAATTTTTTTGTTAAAATTTTGATGTGAAATTTTAATATTATAATAATTATTTGATGGCAATAAAAAATTCATCTTTCAACTTCCCACCATGCATTTGCCGGGAAATGATGGCGGGACTCTCAAAATTTTTTATTCTTAGCTTCCAACAATCACCTTGTCTTTGAAAAATAAAGCGGCAACACAAAATTTTCAGATATTTTTGCTCCCGTGTCAAATTTTATAGAACCTATGTGTCTTACGTCGGTAAAATAAATACCGACAAAGTACACATAGATAAGAGGCTGTATATATTCCCAGAACTGCCCAGCCTTCTCATTTTGTTTTCGTCTTCCTCTTCTTCTTTCTTCTGCTCCCTTATATGTCTCTCCTTCTTTCCATTAAAATGTTGCTCACTTAAAGGGTCACCAACGCACTTCTTTGATGGGTGCCGAATGGAGGTGGACATGATCGGTCATCGATGGAGCTTGGGTTCACTCAATTGGGTTGATTTTTGCCATGGTGACCTTCAAATTCCCTTCAAGGTGACCTTCAAGACTTGCATTCGACTGGAATGAAGGCGAAGAAGAGCCTTTGGTTCACTGGAGGAGCATTTCCTTCTATGTCACTATATGTTGGATCTAACCAATATATTTCTTTCAGACAAGCATAGAATAAGCCTTATCCCCATTTTATGTTTATTTTTTTCACTAAACTGCTTGTGTGTAGAGAGGTGTATGGGTTCATTGTGTAAACATAGCATTTAACAGAAATAATATAAATTTCTTTTACAAATTGGTAACCCAATTTTCCAATTAAGTTTTGTCGGTAAATTAAAATTTGGTTCATATCACAGTTTTGTCCATGATAATTTTTAGACGTAAATTATTAATTATTTTGCAAATTGCTAATTTAAGTTTCAGATAAAGTTCTTGTCGGTAAATGAATGTCTAGGTCTCAGTTGTACTTTTGTCAGTGAATATTTACAGATATATATTTCATCGGTAATTTACCGACGTGACTGACTTGAAATGGGTTCCGACAGTACGGTTTCGGTAGTCAATTAAAGACATGCTTTTTGTCGGTAATTTGAAGGAAGTTACCGACATGAGTTTAAGTCACGTCGGTGAATTAATTACCGAGCAAGCTTACACCGACACGACTATCACCGACATGATTCTTGTTGAAAATGTTTTTTACCGACAAGATCCCCTTTGTTTTCCGACATGGCTTCTTCTCGGTGATGCTGTGAATTCTAGTAGTGTCATATTAATAGCTAAAAAAATTGGAACAATAATTATTAAATAATACTTTAATCCAAATTCTTGTCATGAAGGAACAACTTCAAAAGCTCGATTATCTTGCAATAATCAGAGTTGTTCTTCATAAAAAGCATTGTTTTTTTATCTCAATTGATAAAATAGCATTGGTCTCTTATACATTCAATTGATGTAGTAGTTTTGTTGTCTACTTATTTATATTTTGGGGAAAGTGGGTATCAGTCCTACCTCCCAAAAAAAATTAGAGTCCCAACCATAAAACGACATCATTCTCTTAATCCCAGCCCCTCCTTCTTTTTGCCCCTTCTGCAATCATCTCCATCTCCATCCCCATTGCCTCCCATCTACATCGACTCCTCCAATCCCTTCAATTTTTCAGACGCAATCCCACGCCTCTGACTTAATCACAGCACCCACTATTTTCACCCCATTCTCCCGTTGCAATTCATCATCTTCGTCGATGGTAACCCCTGCTTCCTTTCACCCATTCTGCAATCATCTCCATCGCCTCCCATCTCCATCGACTTCTCCGATTCCTTTTATTTTTCAAACACAATCCCACGCCACTGACTTAATCCCTAGCACCCACTATTTTAACCCCATTCTGCCCCTACAATTCATTGTCTCCGTCGATTATGCCGCTGCAATTCATCATCTCCGTCAACGGTAACAGAGAAAGGATCGAAGGATGGTAAATGCTTTGTTTTCTTACTAAAATCTCTCTCTTTTTTGTTGGGTCTCTTTTTAATAATTGATCCCTTGAATTTTTCAGATACAATCATGCTATCGACGGTAACAAAGAAGGATCGAAGGAAATCACCTTCTGAAATTCAATGATTTAGCCTCTTTGTTCTCCAGCAGCAGTAGGGATAGAAAGTTTTTTTGTTTTCTTAGTCCAATTTCTTGTTGAATTTGGAAAAAAGAAGGTTGCTTTTAGGAATTGTTTATTTATTCAATTAAATTTGGTAGCCAAAGCCATCTTTTCTTAGTTGTCTGATGATAAAATTTTTAAACCGATGCCTTGTAAACTGGATTGGAGGAGTCGATGGAGATGGGAGGCAATGGGGATGGAGATGATTACAGAAGGGGCAAAAAGAAAGAGGGGTTGGGATTAAGAGAACGACGTCATTTTATGGTTGGGACTCTAATTTTTTTTTTTTGGCAGATAAGACTGATGTGCACTTTCTCCTTATATTTTTACCTTTTATATTTTTTATTTGGAGTCAATCTCTTGCCTTTCTCTCTCACGTTCTATCATTACATTTATCTCTTTATGGTACATTCCCTTCTCTTTCCTTCTGTAATAATTTATATATTATTATTTATCATCTCCGTAATCATTCTTTTCTATTAGTATATATCTCTTTTTAACCTAATTTACCCCTCTTCAACATTTTTAGTATTAAAAATATTATATTAAAACATAAATATTATAACTTCTTAATATTAATCTTTAATTAACAATTTAATTCTTGTTATTCTTTCTAGTTTCTCCTCTTATCCTCTATTATAATTCATTAATAGCAATAAATTTGAAATTTATCATTATTTTTGAAATTAACTTGATTAAATTTGTTCATTTAAATATTCTTTCATATCTATCATTAAGACTTTCTTTAATGAATTATTATATTTAAAATTATTAATTATAAAAAATATACTTTCAAAATATATTTAGAGTTAATTATTATTACAAAAATTTATAATTACTAAAAATCTGAAACATAACAATGATGCGTGGTTTAAGGTCTAGTATTATTAAAAAATCCTTACATCAATTATTACAAAATTTTCTGCTACTAATTTCAATACGTATGGCTGTTCAAAAAAAAAAAATTTTCAATACGTGTGCAATACATTGAAGACACTTAGTGCATCATTTTTAAGAGCAATTAACATTGTCTCATGATGGCCTAAAATGAAAACTAACATTGTCTCATAGTTCAAAGAAAGGTGGTAAGAAAGACAATGATATGTGCACCTGTCTATTTAACACCTGGTCTGACACATCCTCTTAGACCAGTAGTTTGAAATAAAATGGAGAAACCCTTGTCCCAACAGCCATTCATCTAGTCATGGCTTACTCCGGTTTCCAAAAAACCAACAACAAGGAGTCTTACCCTCATCTATAGATGGTGATATCACCATCTCCTCCTCTGTGTATTTCATTTGTAGCTTATGTAATTGCTTCCATTTGAGGGATGAAGAAGCAAATCCATCAAAGTGCTTTTTGGAGATTTGTGCTTCCAAATTGAAACAAAATTGAGCTGGTCCTCTACAAGCCTTTAATCATAATTTTGAATAGCAATTCCAAACCCACAACATTGGGGAAAAAAACAGGGCAAAACAATCAAAATCAGGAGGTCCCAAGTAAAGTCAACATTAATAAACCATAGATCTAGAACAAACTTAGCATCCTTCACTTGTCTAAAAGAGATGGAAGGAAAGGGGCTTTGCTTGAAATCCAATGAGTTCATGCGCTGGGTTTGTTTGTTGGGTTAGATCTGGGTTTGCGAGGAACCCAGATCTATCCTGAACCCAGAACATCTAGGTTTGTGCAAACACAACATAGTTTTCACACAAACTTAGTCACAACAAGGGAGGGGGGAAGAGAAATGTAGTTGAAAATGGGTAGAAGAAAGGTATTGGTAAAGTGCTGGGTTCATGGGGAAGAAGATGAATAGGGGAGGCACATCTTTCCAATCTGTTCAATAATGAGAATAGACAATATGTATGGGTTCATGTGAGAAATGTAGTCGAAAATGGGTAGAAGAAAGGTATTGGAAAAGTGCTGGGTTCATGGGGAAGAAGATGAACAATGTTTGGTAATAAGTGAGGATAATATCTAAATAGCTGTCAAATAGTATTAAATCATTTATTTACAATTCAACTGGAAGGGTGTGCCTAGGTGTGCTTAGGTGTGCTGGTTTTGAGTGTATCCATATCATTTTCTGTGGTAAGAGAAAGCCACCTATCAGCCATCGCAAAACATTCTTTAGGCATGTACTCTTGTGCTGTGTGGCGACCCGCCAATGGAAATCAAAAAGCAAAAAAATAAAATAAAGTAAAATAAAATAAATAATTAAAAAATTAAAAAAAATCAATTCACGTTGCACATCTAGATACTACATATAGAAGGTTATTTTGCTGGATATTATCTATAAAAGTTTTTTTTTTTCAGCAAAAAATTATATTTTAAGAGTATAAGGGGTAATCAACTCAATCCTTATACAAACATTAAAACTAACCCCAACTTTAGCCAATCCCAAACAGAGACTTACATTTGCCCAATCCATCCCGACCCAGATTTTTCACAAACTGAACACAGCCAGTCTTGGGTTAAGTTTCCATAATTCCAAAACCAATTGCGGGAAGCACTATGCTTTCAGTCAAGAGAAAGATCGGTACTTTATCAATTCCATAATGTATATAGAAGGTTATTTTGTGGATCATAGTGAGTACTTTTACCTAGTTTGAGCATTGTTCATCTACAAATTAATTTACATATGACAGACTTTTGATCTCCAAAATTCCAGCTTGTGTAAATTAATTAATAAAAATTAAAAATCTTTCACTTAAAAAATTGTTAATCTCATGAGAGTTTAAACTTTAAACAACAAAATTTGTGCAGGAAAAAAAAAAAAACGAATGTCTTCTCTGAACGTGTACATTTCTTACAAAGTAAAAGGGAAAACTGGGAAATTAGGATATTGAATTTGTTTCGGCCAGATGAATTAAAAAGAAAGAATATTGAATTTGAATATGGGTACATTTGATATTCATCTTTGAATTTGCATGATTGTAACTGAATTTGAATGATTGCAACTCCCTTCCATCCTCCCCTCTGTGGTGCTGCTATCTTGTAAGAAACAATTGAAAACCTAATTTTATTCAGTTGTTCCTGACAACCCATGCTTTGTCCATCCATCTATATAAATAAGAAATAAATTGGAACATAATGTTATAAATTAGAAAGGTCTTTAAGAATTAGGTTAAATCAAATTTTATTAATGTGAAATTCTGGGTAAAATTAATAAAAAATCAAATTTTAATTTTATTAAAAAGAATTAAGAAGAAAGAATATTGAATTTGAATATGGGTACTTTTGACATTTATCTTTGAATTTGAATGATTGCAAATCCCTTCCATCTTCCCCTTTGTGCCGCTCCCGTCTTGTAAGACACAATATATATACTGCCTCAATTTATTTTTAGTAAATATAGTTTGATTTTTTAACTTTTAGAACATGAATTTTAGATAAAAATTTACTAATTTATATGAACAACAATTAAAATTTTTTTGAATCAAATAAAAGTATTTAACAAGAATTATATATAAGGGCAAAAAAAAATTTAATTGTTATTTATATAAATGGTTAAATTTTTATTTAAAATTTATGTCTTAAAAATCAAAAATCAAATTAGATTTATTAAAAATAAATTAAGGGAGTATTAGATTTCAATCACTTTCTAATATGTATTTTTTAAAAAAACGGATTGAATATTTATTAGAATTCTTAAAGTTTATTGAGTATTTATTAAAAAAAATTTTAATTCAGTGGATATTTATTAAATTTTTTTTTAGAATCTAATTAATACTTATTTAAGAATTTTATAAAAAATTTTGTTATTACAATAATTTTATATATACTTAAAATATAGTAACTAATGTGTCAAGAAGCACATTGCTCTATCTCCAAGGACGACATACAATCCTTGGCGGATGTTTTTGCGTGCAGGTGCTTCATAAAAAATGAAAAGAACACTCTCTATTTTTATAATTTTTCTGTCCCCATATTATGTGAAAAAAGAAAAATAAAAGTAAAAAAATTTATGATTAGATGATATATTAAAATAAATGAATAATAATAAGATTAAAATACAAAATATTTATTTATTTTTGTTAACTAGAATTTTTGTAGGAAGACAGGCTTTTTGAACACACACAAAAGAAAGTTATAAACTTTATAAGAATCAGGCCGACTAAGCCCATCTCAAGGCATGGCCGAAAAATAAAAGCCCATTCGAGGCTATGAAGAATGAGAAATTGTAAACAATACGATTTACTTGTAAATTCCACATTCCAACTTGAAACTTATATCTAATTCATACATTCTAATGAGTTTTTATTATTGCATGACAACTTCAAAGGTAGAATTTTGCTGTGTTAGCAACTTTTCGTTTAATATAGTTGCGATTTTTAGTTTTTAATTATAATTTTTACAAATTTTATAATTAGTGAAGACTAAAACTAAAAATATAAACGTAGAAAGCTAATTATTTAAGAGAAGTTTCTTGGTCCATATATAGCCAAATCGATTAAGGGCATTTTATATGTTTCAGATCTATTTACCTACTTTTGAAGGACATTTAAACATTCATTTTCAAACACAAACAATAAAAAAAATATAAATTTATTTAACAGTTTTATTTTTTTTATTTCTCTAATAATGATGATAATATATTCAAAAATATTAGAAAATAAACAACTTTTTGTTAAGAGTTACAAAATTTAAAAAATAAAAAACTACAACACTACTAAAATGAGTCTTAACTGTTGATGTTGAATTAAAATTAGAAGTTCAAGGTTAAGCGCTTAAAATACTAAGCAGGCTAACATCTCACAAATTGAAAGAAAAAAATAATAATAAAAAGGAAAAACGGTGACATGTTATTTTCATTTGATGGCAGAGAAAATTTCAGACCATAGCAGTGGAGATGTGGCAGACGAATTTTATTATTTATTCAAGGTTTGTGAACAATTCTTTATTAGTCCATTTTTATCCATTGTTAAAATAATGACATGCAGAAAGTTAATTTAACAGGAGGACATTGCTCGTATGAAAGAAATCGGTTTGGACTCATTCAGATTCTCCAGTTCTTGGCCTAGAATTTCACCTTGTAAGATTGCATGCCCTCAAAACCAACAATTTTACAAAATTTTGTTCTGGTTAAATCAACAATTTTAGGATAGTTTGGTTCGCTTAAATTAAAATTTTGGAAAATATGTTTTTTACTTTTTGATATTTGGCATATGGAAGAAAATATGGTAATGAAAATTATTTTCAAAACGAATAAGAGAAAAGCTTGGAGAACATGTTAGAACTAGCAAATTTGGTCCCAACCCAGTTCTGGGTCTACACTCCATAGTCTCGACCCAAAATCTAAAATGACATGATCAGATAGATCCAGTGGTGCTGATCAAAAAAGAGAGAGAGAAAAAAGAAGAAGAAGATAGATCCATTGGTTAACCGGGTTGGGTTATAGTTAACTGTGATCCAACAAAACTTAATTAATTTTTTTATAATTTAAATATTTGTTTTAATATCATTAGTTAAAAATTATAATGTTAGTGATATATTTAGAGCCATCCATGTCTCGAGATGTTTTCAAGACCAAATCACTCTTAAGCTGCTACACATCTTGTGTAACCGCTCAAGCCAACCCAATTGTAATTCACACCCCACACTACCCTAATTAACATTGGTCCATATTGTGAGCCACTTCAGACCTTGGGTCATGCATAGTGACTTGATTTGAGCCGCGTTGGTCCGTAATCATACCTTGAGCCGTCTCAGACCCACAACTCATGCCCTTTGCCACCCTAAGACCCTACCTCATGCCTTGACTTGCCTTATAATTTAGGTTACACCTCGAGCTACCAAGGAGTGAGGATTACTCACTGAGCCACTCTAGAGTGACGGCTTCAGGACAGCACCGGGTCAAGACTTGAGTTCCGAGCGGCTTGTGGCTTGACCCAAAGTCTGTGTCAACTTGAGGGGTGATTCGACGTTTGTGGCTATTCAAGTTGTGACCAAGGTTTCAGTGTGGTATGAGGTTTAAGGTGGCTCGGGCCTGAACTTGGGGTCTAAGGTGGCTCTAGCTGTGACTCAAGGTCCAAAGCAGCTCAAGGGAATAACTTAAATAATGATTGATATATCTTTTAGTTTAACACAGATCATAATATAATTAATAAAAATTTATTATTTTTAAATTTGAGTTTAAAGTGGAAAAAATTTTAATTACAAAATTTATTGGCTAAACCAATATGTGCTAATAGGTATATTGAATTAATGAGTACACTAATCATTTTTCAAATGACCTAAGGTTTGAGACAACTCATAATTACACTACTAGAAAAGGGGAGTACTTGGGTCAAGCACCATGACCAAAAAAGTCTATATTTTGACCAAAACATCAGCACTTCGGTCAAATCCCATGACCGAATTATTGGACCAAATATTCACTCTATGAAATGTATTTCGAAGAAAATTTAGTCTTGACTTAAATAAAATCTAACTTGGTTAGTATTTTTTTTATCGAAATAATGGTTGAATAAATCATTAAACAACTCTTATATTTGGACAAATCAATTGATCAAAAAAAAAAAAATATTATTTTACTCATATATTTTGGTCAATAACACTAACCGAAATACTAAGTCAAAACCAAGTCACCAGGTTCGTATTTCGGTGAAATTAAATGATCGAATTAATGGAAAGGGATATTTTTGGTATTTTAACCAATGTTTTTTCGGTCAGAATATCTGACCAAAAATATATAGATTCCCCTCAATTTGTTGGATTTTATTTGGTCAAATTGATGACCAAACTAAATTTACAAATTAGCTCATTCAACTTAACTTGGTCAAAATGATTGACAGAATTAAATATGAACATTTTGGAAAAAAAGAACTTAATTCAGTCAATATGTTTGACTGTATTAAGCATGCATATGTTGGAAAATAAATTAGCATGTTTAATTTGGTCAATATGACTGATCGAATTAAGGATGAACATTTTATTGGAAAAAATAAAATAATTGAACTTAATTCGGTTAGTATGTTTGACCGAATCAAGCATGCACATTATAAAAAAATAAAATTAGCATGTTTAATTCGGTCAATATGATTGACTGAAGTAAACATGTAGATTGTAAAAAAAAAAAAAAAAGAAACTCAAATTATTGAATGAATTTTAATCAAACAATAAATATTATAATGCAATTTTATATTAAAAAAATTTAATTTTAATATCACCAATTATATACAATTTTTTTTTATCTTTTATAGTTTTTAATTATTATTATATTTATTTATTATTAATTATGATTAAATTTTCATATATGCAAGGACATCAAAATAAATCAAATTTATATATATA